GGAGCCCGATGTGGGGCTCGATCCCAGGACCCTGGGATCATGACCTGAGCTGAAGGCAGACGCTTAATGACTGAGCCACCCAGGCGCCCCTATTTTTTTATTTTTAATATGCCAGATGACTTTTTAAGTTACTCTTAACTTTCAAACATCTTAGCAGTTTTGTGAATGTATAGACCACAGCAATGTACTTTTTAAGCATTGATATTACCATTTTTCAACAATTCCAGATGGGGTTATTTTATTTCTACTTTTCTCTATTACTTCTCTTCATGGATATATCTTCTCACTTCTCGTGATTATATATGGATCACATTTATAAGACTCCTGAACATATGCTGACATCATAGACATGATACTATAGTAAATCCAGATTGTTTGAATATCTCAGTTAATTTTGTTCTAAAGATTGTCTTGTTAGTATTTGATTCCTTGCCTTTCTCTGCTCAGCCTACAAACCCAGTTCTGCTAAGGCAATCACATCTTCCCCCAGAAGTTCTCTAATGTGGAGCTCAAGTTTTAAAAGCTACAGCCAGGTTCTCTGTTGTTTCTAGGGTGGAGCAGTCTTATCAGAAAGTGATGTCCCTTTGGCATCAGCTACATGTTAACACCAAAAGCCTTATCTCCTGGAACTATCTGAGGAAGGACCTTGACGTTATAAAGACCTGGAACCTGGAAAAGGTAAGTGTGAAAGCCTTACCTCAGGCTCACGTCCTATTGGCAAGCTTTTTTCAGAAGAAACTTTTTCTCATTACTGTGAGACTCCTACCCACCCAAAAGGAGTAGAGTGGAGTCGGGGATAGTGTTTCAGGATTAGGGGGTCCTAAGAACTAAAAACAGCAGCCTGAATGGTCAAGGAAATTCCTGATGAAGATAAATGGCATCTTCGGTCTTTTTTGCCAACCGAGGTTGTAGGCTCCTTCTCACTCTGCAGGACAAGTGGCTCTTGTGTAAGTGTGTATGTAGTAGAGGAATACTGGTGAATTAACCATTAGGAAGGATTGTGTCCAGAGGGCACCGTGGGTGCTTCTGGGGTGCTGGTAAGATTGTTTCTTGATCTGAATGCTGATTACATGGATAAGTTCTGTTTCTTAGAAATCAACATGTTTGCAATTTATGGTGTGTGCACCTGATTTGTATATATGTTAAACATCAATAAAAAGGAGAAATAGAGAAAGTATTATGTTCCCATTCTACTGAAATTTCTTCTTCTTTTTTTTTTCTCTTTAGCTTCGATCCTCAGCACCAGGGGAGTGCCACCAGGTTATGAAGAACCTCCAGGCCCACTATGAAGACTTCCTGCAGGATAGCCGTGACTCTCTGCTCTTCTCAGTGGCTGATCGTTTGCGCTTGGAAGAGGAGGTGGAGGCTTGTAAAACCCACTTCCAGCACCTGATGAAGTCCATAGAGAATGGTGTGTGCCTTGGGAAAAGGGAGAGGAGTGGTGGATTGAGAGCCCTGAAGGGTGCTACTAGACCTTCATGGAGATTAGAAAGTACCACCTTTTTACCATTTGAGTGGGTCAAAACTTGAGGTAGGGAAAAACTTACAGAGATGAATTCTCAAAATCAGATCATGGACGAAGAGGCCCTATTTCACTCATTATTGCTAGTCAACGTGTCACGTTTTCTTGTGGACATGTTTAGATCCTTAAAGATGAGTATATAATGCAGGGAATTTAGGATCAGGCAAAAGGTTCCCCCCATATAAGGCCTTGCTTTCATTTGTGGAATATCAGGTGTGCTGCCCTCTATCCAAGGGTGAATCTGTTCTCAGGTTTGTTGATCTCTGTTGTGGTGCTTAATGGTATCCTGTGCTTGTGCATTTTACAGAGGACAAAGACGAAACTGTGGCCAAGATGTACATTTCAGAGCTGAAGAATATCCGACTACACCTGGAGGAGTGTGAACAGCGGCTGGTCAGACGAATTCAGTCTCCAGCCAGTTCCAGGACTGACAAAGATGCCCGGCAGGACAATGCATTAAGGATCGCAGAGCAAGAGGTAAGCCTGAAGAGCAGGGTGGGTGCTGGCTGCAGTGTAAATGCTTTCAGAGTGAATTGGATGGCAAGACAATATGGAGCTTAAGAAATAAGGCAGTAGACTCATGGCATTCCTACTTGAGAATTCTTCCTTGCAGGCTGCAAATGCCTTTTATCTATGGCAAAGCATGATTTCAGCTCCCACTGTGTTGCTGACTGTTGATTAGTTTTCTGCACAGCTGGGAAGGCAAACAGACTGGCACATTGCTCTAAGCACTGCATTTGGGCTACATGTTTTAAGACGACTTATCAGAGATGCTGCTTTCTGCTCTATCCCTGATGTGCATGTGTTACTTTCTGTGACATGGTTGCTGTCAGCAATAGGATACAAAAAAATATTAAGGAAAGACTCAGATTCTACTCTAGGCTCTTATGCACACTTGACTTTTAGCAAGTTAACTCTCATCCCAGTTTCCTTTCTTAAAAAATGGAGATAATGCGTGAGTCCAAACTGTATCACTTCCTAAATTTTGGAAAACTTCTGGAAGTTAAGTGATATATATAATGAGTTTCCTGGAAAAGTGAAATGCCATCAAAATGTAGAGTAGTATTTTTGAAGTAAAAGCAAATATTAATGGCTTTGTTACATGCTCATAGGCATGTAAAGAGAGTAAGCCAAAGTCCTCACTTTTGGCTTTTGCTGTACTTCAGGATAAAATGTTGAAGTCACAATTAGGACCTTTAGTATAAGAGATATCATGAGATAGTACCATTGGTATTTGCAGGTTTAGAAGCAAACATTGCTATAGAAATTTAGAGTATTGCTAAACCATTTCTACTTGGGACCATAGGAGAGAGCTCTATGAAGAATAGTAGATTGATCTGGGAGCTTAAAGGAATGGAACGGACTGGCTAAATTAGGAGGAGTAATTTTTCTTACCTTCCTCAGTTATTCCTAAACTCGAAGAAGAGGATGAGAGGGCAGCATAATTTTGTTTGATTGTATAAACCTATAATTTTCATACTGAAACTTTAGTTTTCTGTAGTCATCTGAAATCTGTTTGTCCCAGCAAAATAGAACATTCAAGAAATGTTCATATTCAGCTCTTCTGAAGGACTTTCTTTTTTTGGATTAACTTTTTATTTTGAAGTAGTTTCAGTATACAGAAAATTTTTTATTGTCATATAGCCTTCACCTAGATCCCACAAATGTTGACATTTTTCTCTATTTGCTCTATCATTTTTTCTATAAATGTACATTATAATCTTTTTCTTTTCTCGAGAATGAGTTCTGTACATGATGCTCTTTTATCCCTAAATACTTTAGTGTGCATTTCCAAAAATGAAGGGTAGTCTCTCTCTTTTTTTTAAGGGTTTATTAATTTATTTGAGAGAGAGAGATAACATGCATGTGCAAATTGGGGGGAGGGGCAGAGGGAGAGGGAGAGAGAGAATTTGAAACAGATTCCCCCTGCTGAGTGCAGAGCCCAACATGGGGCTTGATCTCAGGACCCTGAGATCATGACCTGAGCTGAAATTGAGAGTTGGCTGCTTAAAGGACTGAGCCACCCAGGCGCCCCAGGGATAGTCTCTTATGTAACCAGAGGACAATGATTAAAATCAGGAAATGAACATTGATATAATGCTGTTATCTAAGACTTCATTAAAATTTCATCAGTTGACCAAATAATGCCTTTTTTGGGTATGCCCCCGCCCTCCCCCCACACCAAAGAATGTGGGTTTTTGGGCGCCAGGGTGGCTCAGTTGGTTCAGCGTCTGACTCTTGATCTCAG